GAGAGGGGGGGAGAGAGAGAGCCGGGGGGGGAGAGAGAGAGAGACTGGGGGGGAAGAGAGAGAAGGGGGGGAGAGAGACAGAGAGAGAGAGAGAGAGAGAGAGAGACTGGGGGGAAGAGAGAGAACGGGGGAAAGAGAGAGACTCCCCCCCCCCGCGAGTATTGTGGGTCCCCCTTTGTTCCCCTCTAAAGCACTGCTGCTTCTGTGGCGGAAGGTGTGATGGCTGTCATCCTCATAACAGCGAGCAGACCATGGGCCAAAATATGCTACAGGTTAAAGGCAAGCATTAACTGAAAAATGTAGATATACATGTAAATTTGAAACCTTCACTGTACAAAGCTGGGTGTGCAAGAAAAGCAATTCTCAATAAACACAGCCCTAGAGTCACAGTGAAGAGCATGAATTGTGACTGGAGTGTTCCACTTAGGCCACGAACTCAAAAGATGGCATTAGGCACACTGCTGTATTTTGGCCCTGGCCCCCTCAGTAATACAGGGATGGGTTAAGATGTTCGGAAATAATGTATGTGAATTACTTAGAGCACTAAGAAATCACCGTGCTTGGTCATGGTGGTGGCTATTTGAACAAATGTACCCTTTGCCCATGAACTCTGAATTTCACATTAGTTTGACATTGTTGTGTTTATTTTGTTCTTCCTTGTTCACTTGTTCATAGCAGTCACTTTTTGATTTGTTTTAGGTCAGCAAAGCTGCCTGTATTCTCACCAGTCAGACCTTGATGAGGCTACTGAGATCCAGAGAGGCAGCAAGTGCTGTCGATGTGAAAACCTGGCCAACCATCATTGACACAGGTAACAGAACTGACCTTGTTCCCAAGACATACTTGTTTCGGAAAAGATGCAGCTGAGAACCAGCTGTGACATTTTGTCTAGAAGAGTATTATTACCATCTGGTCTTGTATAGGTTGGCTCTTATGACAGTGTCACACAATCTGTTCCTGGTGCATGGGGACAACCTTCTGACATGCACTTATGGCCTTGTGTCCATTCAGGAACTTTAAGCCTATGTATACATGGGTCAAGCTCGCCATCATTCTTCCCATAAGCGGAGAGCAGCAAAGGACATTCAGCTCATACACTTTCATTTAGAGCAAAATGGACAGTGTAAATAAAAACAGAGAGATGGAGCAAACTCAAAAAAAAAAAAAACTAAGCAGGTGTCCCAGCAGGGTATGCTGTGCATCCAGAGGAGGCTTACTGCACCATCTAGTCCTGTGTAAAGACATCCTTGGGAAGGAGGAGTTACTGCAGTCTAAGGAGGAAGAAGAGATTATAAAATATACTTTTGCCCATCTGACAGGAGGGTGTGTGTGACGACCCCTTAACTGGGGAGGTCTGGTTTTACTTTAAAAGTGTTCCTTTTATTTTATTTTACTGGGTATTCCGGCTGCCACCAGGAAATTTAAGGCTTTCCAAACCTCTATAATATAATATTTCTGTCACTGGGTAGGTAAGTCGAGGGTTTAGGCGTTCACGAGAGTCTATGTGTTTCCTGGGAAGAATTTCTTTCAGAACTGGTATCTTAAATAAAAGTAGATTTATTGATATTTCACACACTTTTCTCTCCCACTGTCAGGGATCTGGGCATGTAACTTTGTAACACTTTTTTCCCTTTAGGCCGTATACGGTTACTGTTTCTTTATACTTCAACTTTTCATAACACACACAAGACTTCTCTCTCTCAGACCTTAAAACGAACAAACTGCTTAACTCTTTTACTACACAGAACCAAATTATCCCACACAGGGATGTGTCTCTCTCTCAGACTTCAGAACTTAACTGCTTAACTGAACATCAACTGTCTTTCTCAACAGTCATATCTCTAACTGACCCTCTTGACAGACGTATCTGCTCATCCACACAGAATCATTTCCAAAACCCCTCCCCCTCTCTGTCACTCACCAATCACACCACTTGCTTGTTTCCACTACTCTAGACTATCATACAGCCATGCATCCAAACTTTTAAAGACACACACACAGAGTTAAACATGAAATCGTTACAGGGTGTCATGTTCTGAGATTCCTTGAAGTGTAGGGGAGAGACCATCCTTAGGGAAGACTGAGTGTCTGTTCTTGGTTCCCAAACGTGCCAAAATCTAAACTGATAGGCAAAAGAGCCCTTTTTATAATATTGGTCCTGTGGACCCTTGTGGTTTGAATTTGGGCTGGAAAAACAGTTTTTCATAGAGGTACCAGGGCTGCTAAGAGCCTATCTTGGTATGAGTGAACTTAAATTGGGTGAACTTAAATTGACAAAATACTAAGTTGGGCAGTGATTGCTTCACAGGACAACTCAGGATTAGGGGGATGCATTCGGCTAAATCTGAGCCAAAAAAATTAAAAAAAAATACCTTATCAGTATTTTCAGGCTATTCTTTCAGCTAGATATAGATTGGGGCTGAATTTCAGCTATCTGAAATGCCCAAGTCCGAAAAATCACAAAAATATTTGGAATTTTTCAGGGCCACCAGATAGCTGCAGTTAAAGGACATTTAAAGAGATTGCAGTCCCTTTAAATGCCTTCCAGTTCATTCATGGCTTGGAGAAGGCACTTAAAAGGACTGTGATCCTTTTAAACACTTCCACTCCTCCGTTGAAACCAATAAATAGGGGCACCTTCTTCAGGGGCCCATAGAATTGGACCCCCTAGTCCAATCTTTTTGGAACTTGGGGGGGGGGGGGTTGAGGAGAGGCACCAGCAGCTATGCTGCAAATTCGGTGTCTCTACCTAAAAAGCCCCAGATACCCCTGGATCTATTCTCCATTATACCCTATGGGGACCATGGACTATAATGGTCCCCATAGGGTATAATGCGGCTGAAAAAAATGGGATTCCCGAATATTTACCAAATCCAAATACCATACTGGTATTGGGATTTGGGAATATCGGGAAATACCTATATTTCTCGGGTTCAGTATACCTGAAAAATGCTTGCTTTCTTTTTTCTTTCTTTTTTTGGCGCACCCGTACTCAAGAGTGGTGGTAGAAAGTGCTGTCAAATTGCAACCGGCTTGCAGCGACCCTGAAGGGTTTTCAAGGCAAGAGATTTTCAGAGGTGGTTTGCCATTGCCTGCCTCTGTGTTATGACCCTGGTATTTGTTGATGGTCTCCCATCCAAGACCTAAACAGGGCCGGCCTTAGCTTCCGAGATCTGATGGGATTAAGCTAGCCCGGACTATCCAGGTCAGGGCCAGGTCAAGATACCTGCTTTCATTTGGGGTGAAATTGAGGAGTTTAAACCTCTGGGAGGGGGAATGCACCAGGTGGAGTTTATGAAATTACGAGATACCCACGATGGGGCCCTGACAATGATGCCCCAAGGCTCTTCAGGAGAGTGTACTTCAAAAAGGGTGTGGGGGCTAGTGGCTATTTCCCCTTGTCCAGTACACTGGAAGGTATAGGACTCCCAAGGTCAATCGTGGTGGTCTTCTGTGCAACTGCTCCCTTCTACTAAAGTTGGGCCCTGTAACTCCCTTCTTCCAAGTTTTCTTTCAACAATGGAATACCTCCGTTACAACAAAGTTTGAGTCCAGTGGCACCTTTAAGACCTTATTTAAGGTAAAAGCTTTTGTGTGCAAGCACACTTCTTCAAATATACAAAAGCTTATACCTTGAATAAAATTTTGTTGGTCTTAAAGGTGCCACTGGACTCAAATTTGTCCTGTTACTTCAGACCAACATGGTTACCCACCTGAATTAGAGGAAGCCTTTCTCCGTTGACGGAAGACTTAATGGGAGAGAGTTATAGCACCCAGCTCATAGTTCCATTGTATCACAACTTGACCTGTTTGCTTTATTCTTTAGAGGAATTAATTTTTCAGCATCACATAAAAAAAACAAACCTTGCTCTTGCCTGTTCCAGATGATTTGCCCAGGAAGCGGCTACCTCAGGTCTACAAGCCACCAACCCCAGAAATGTTGGCATACCTGGATTTCAGTGTTTCCACAACAGGGATGCTTACAGGAGTAAAGGTACGGCAGCATCTCACCTAGGCAACATGCTTAGGAGCCTCCGTTTTGTAGGCCAGAATTAAGTCTTGGTTTTTGCTTCTGAATGAAAATGTGCCAGATTGTTTCCAGCCTGTATAAATAAACACTGGCTTTCTTAATACCACATACTGGCAGTAATACATGTGAGCAGATAATTCAGCCAGCAAAATGGCCTTGCTGTGTGTATGGAGCTTTGTGTTCAGAAGGGATTTCCACGTTTTGCTGCTATAATGGCAAAAATATGCAACACCATTCCTCAGGAAACGATTGGAGTAATCTTCAAGGTGTTCCCAGTAGCTTAACTGAAACCAGACTATAGCCAAGCTACCTACAATACTGGTATCCTTGTAGGAGTGTCTGCTCAGGAGCAGGAGGGCCCGTAATCAGTTGTTGCATAGGTTTATCTCTTCTTGTTTTGGCTTCTCTGCATCACTGCTAGTGGTTCCCTTGCCTAAAGAAAGCCCATACCTGTGCCTTGGGCAGTGGTTGCATATGAACTGTAGTGTACCCTAGAATCACAATATCTCATGCAGTGGACTACAGTTGTGGCTCCCATACCTGTAACGTACGTTGCCACTAACCTAGGCAAAAAGGACTTCAGGTTCCGAGGTGTGGAGAAGCAGCAGTAGTTCAGTGATTTGAGTACTTGGCTGGAATGTCAAAGGAACCTGGGACTGGACGACTTTCCTTGATTGCTCTGTGCTCCATTTTCCTTTGTAGCTTTGTACCTACAGAGAGGAGAGCAGTCCTTGTACGACCAAGAGGTTGTGAGCATGGAGATGGCAAAAATCCTTGAGGGTCTTAATAACTGCTGCAAGGAAGACATCACAAATGTCTATTTAAGGATTCATTCTGGGGTAGCCCTGATATCCAGCAAAAACATACATACTCTAAATGCCAAAGTGGCTTACTCCTATGGGTTATGGAGTGGGTGTAGAGTTGTATATATCAGGCTCTCTCTGCCTCTTTTGCTTCTGAGAATCAGTTCTCTCTCTCTCTCTCTCTCTCTCTCTCTCTCTCTCTGCAGATGTCCCATGCAGCAGTCAGTGCCCTCTGTAGAGCCATAAAGCTGCAGTGTGAACTGTACTCCTCACGGCAGATCGCCATCTGTTTAGATCCCTATTGTGGTCTGGGCTTTGCACTTTGGTGCCTTTGCAGGTAAGTGCCAGGATGTTATTAGAAGAACTGCAGGGCTGTTAAAAAGATAGACCCTGGCTGGTTTAAATTAGGACAGCATCAAAGGGAGGAAGGCCTGATTGCAATGGCTAGTGTTGGAGCCTTTCTACACAAGTGAAGTCATTCCAGTTCACGTGACCCAGGGACCCATGGCCTGCCTAAGAACAAGGCCAGTTTCATCATTCAGATAGCTAGCGTTTCCCTTTTGCCCTCAGTTGTTAAGAACATCAGGCCATTTATATCTGTACACAGTTAAAACGGTATGCATCTGATTCTTTCTCCTTGGGGAAAGGTATTACAAGCTTTGTGTCCATCTGGTATGAAGAATTCATTTTAAATGGAGTCCTTACTTTGAGACCTACATTTTGTGCCTGACGTGCCCCACAAAGAGCACAGTCCACAAACCAGATGCATTGGTGCAACAGCCTTTCCTCTGCACCAGCATGCAACCGCTGACCCCTCTGCCTAACCGAGATAGAGGGCAAATATGGCCCATAGGGCTCCATGGAGACATTTGGTGGGATAAAAAACCCCTCAGAAGTAAAGCATGCCACTGCTGCTTGGCTGGAGCAGTTGCACCAGCTCTGAGCTAAGAATGGAGCAGAGCTGATAGCAGTTTTTAACTGCTGATTATGTGATTATTTGGATTGCCAGAATGCCTAGAGTTTGCTCAGTTTGTCTCTGTATGCAGGGACGAGTGGGGAGGCGAGTCACTGTGACAAAAGAAGGTTTGCAAATTACCTTTAGGCTGCACAGAACTAGTGAAACCCATCCAGTTCCGAAAAGTAATGCCTTGTCTGTCTGTCTGATGTTCTCTGGCAGTGTGTATTCTGGTCACCAGTCCATCTTAATTCCTCCTATGGAGTTGGAATCCAACCTTTTCCTGTGGCTCTCCACTGTTAGCCAGTACAAAATACGGGACACTTTCTGTTCCTATTCCGTCATGGACATGTGTACAAAGGGGCTTGGGAACCAAGTTGATGTATTAAAGGTAAGAAGCTGAGGCTTATTTTGTACTGTGGGGGGCGGGGGGGGGACTTGAAAATACCTTTTAATCTTCAGGCTGTCGGAATGGAATTGCATTTCCTTGCTTTTTATCCTCCCTTTCCTATGAGAGGCTTGGAAATTTCCTCTTTAAAAAGAGTTTTGCTGACTATCTTGAACTGCCTGTTTCAAATCCAGTTTTCAGTTTATTTATTTTATTTATGTATTATATTCGGCTTTTATACCGCCCTCCCTGCAAGTGGGCTCAGGATTGAGAAAAAGAAACTGATGTTCCTAGCCAGGCATGGTGGAAACTCTCCCAAGAGAGCATGTACGTAAGCGTACAACAAATTCTTATAAAAATACATATAAAATAATAAAGTAGTATAAAAATACAATTCTAGAAACACCCGATACCCACATGGCTCCGTAATACAATTCTAACCCTCAATTTACTTTACTATAACAGCGGGGGAGGGGGGGTGAAAGCAGTTAATGGACCAAATATCTGTTGGCAGCTATTAACCGTTAGACTATTGATGTTAAGTACCGTTAATGTTAAAACTGTTGCTGTGCTCAAGTGTATGCTTGGTGGAACATCTCTACCTAGAGCACCTAGAGCACAATGCAGTGAGAAATACTTCTGCACAGGCCCATTGAAATGCCTGGGGCTGTGGGCTTGGTGGTAGACGTTTATTCCCTCCTGAGGTCCGGTTTAAACTAAAGTTAAGCAGATAGGAAGGATTTTTGACCTCACAGGTATCCAGCTATATTTGAAATTTTCTCCCCAGCGTAATGTTCTGTTCATTGATTCATCGCTTCAAAAGACACTGTATTTTGAATATATTAACTGAAGCAGAGCTTTTGTTTTTCAAGCTGAAAAACTTTGTATTCGGTAAGCAGATCCCCCCCCCCCCCCGGTTTGGTTGGATCCTTCCAGTCGGTTCTGCTGGTGTCAGCGTGTTCCCCCAAGCGAGAGAAGGCTTCTTCTGATGTAACAGGGTCTTCTGCTAGCAGAGGAGTCTCTTGCGTCAATGGAACACACCGACACCAGCAGAACAGACTGGTAGGATCCAGTCCATTGATTTTACAAGCTCTTTTTAGCCCAGTAAGGATGGTTGAGAGGGGAATTTTAAACACAACATCTCAGAAAGTACAAGCAGTACCACAGAATTCAGGAGTGGCTTGCTGTTTGAAAGTAATGGTTGTTGCCAGCACATTAACCCTGGTACAAGATTGATATCTATTCTGGCCATTCAGTTCACTAAGCAAAGCTACTAAGATGTAGGGTAGGGGGGGTGACAAAATCACAGCAACCAATTATTTGCTTGCTAGCATAATTTTGTGTTATGAAAATCAGTCCGAGGCTCTTTGATGTCAACAGAAGTTTTGTTAGTAGAGAGATGGGAAGGATGAGTCACTGGGTCCTATTGTTAAAATTCTTTCTTTGGCTGGGTCAGTGTGACCAGATTAATATCTTGCTGTTCGCACAAACATATCTATATTGTTTTAATGATTACTCAACAGCCCTGGTGTACGTACTGATCTGACTTTCGGATGCAGTCTTTGTCCTTTTGACTTTTCACAATATTTCCTCCGTCATAAAGGGCTGATAACACATAGGTCTTTCAGTAAGGACCCCAAGTACTATAGATGATACAGAAAGATGATTGGTGATTGATGCATTTTCTTTCTGCTTGGCCACGGGCCATCATGGATGCTAAACTGGTTTGGGCATGCCAGTGATACCTTAAGTGAGTAGGGGAAATGCTAGCATCACAAAATACCTAGTAATGCTTTACAGGACAAAATAGTGCTCCTTGAGCTTGAATGGAGGATTGACCAGTGTTCTCTTGGCCTGCTGGCCTGTTGAAATATGTCATTACTACCCCCCTCCCAATGTGTTTGATTTCTGTGCATTGGCAGGCAAGAGGCATTAACCTGTCAGGTGTCCGGACCTGCGTGGTGGTGGCAGAGGAGCGTCCACGGGTGGCTCTTACTCACTCCTTCTCCAAGCTGTTCAAGGACATTGGCTTGTCATATCGTGCAGTCAGCACCACCTTTGGGTCAAGAGTCAATGTAGCAATCTGTTTACAGGTAACAAAAAAGCCTTATTGGTCTCTTTATCGGGGTTCGGGTGTGGCCCCAACCTATTTTGAACCTGTGCACACAGCTAGTTTTATGACCTTGAAGATTTTTGAGTGCTGATCTCCAGGGTGCTCTGGAGAGAACTAGTTGAAGTGGGTCACAGGACCCATGTGAAATAATAACCACACGAGACAGTGGGCTGCATTGGGATTTCCCATTCTCCTCCTCCATCAGCAGAGTTCTGCGGTTTTATCCAAACCTCCTTTTCCCAGCCTTCCTCTGTTTTTAATGCCACACGAAACCTCTACAGATACAATTATGAGAATGGTCCCTGACTCCCTCTTGTTTGTCCCCCCTGTGGATTGAGAAAAAGAAAATGATGTTCCTAGCCAGGCATGGTGGAAACTCTCCCAAGAGAGCATGTACGTAAGCGTTCTTGGCATAGAACAGAAACCATTCCCTTAATATGCGCCTTTGCATGAGCTGTGTTTTCTGTGTTACTGGGCACTTGATAACCTAGCTTGCATTTCCCTCCCTCAGGGCCTTCAACTATCTACCACTTATCTCAGTAGAAGCGAAAAATATACATGCTTCAATAAAATGTCTGTTTAATGTTTTTAGGGAACCTCAGGGCCTGATCCCACCACAGTATATGTGGATCTGAAGTCCTTAAGACACGACAGGTATGGCTCTGTTTTTATTGTCGTTATTTATCTTTGCTGTTTGAAGTCTGTGATCAAAATATGTTTTTTTTTAAAAAAACAACTTTATTTGGATATAACATCAAGTCAACCAATATAACATTTTAGTATCCATCATCTGTTCAACAATAAAACTTATGTACCATATCTTTTTACCCTCGTTACATCCTTCCCCCTCCCATTTCCCTCCCCTATACATGGCTTCCCACAGTGCTTCGGCCTCCTGCGCTTCTTATTTCTAAATTCAATTTCCATTTAATATTTCTTATATTTCACTTATGTCCACTCCGTCTTTCTTACTCCTCATTTTCTACAATCTCCATAATGGTTCTACTTTTAGTAATCATCAAAACTGAATAATGTGTCTTTTACGTCTTCATATTTTTCCAAATAGTCTTTTAAATCCTTCCAGTCTCTATAAAAATCCTCCGCATCCTGATTATTCAATTTCCAGTGATCAAAATACGTTTTCGTCTGTCCAACCATGCAGCTCAAAGAGGGCATTTAAGTCTTCAGAGGAGGGAGTGGCAGTGTCCACGAATTGCCTGCTCCCAGTGCATACCCTCACTTTGCTTGCATGAGGTCCACGTAGCTTCACCCAGAACAAACTGGGGGGAGGTTTTGCAGGCTGCTGGAGAGGGAGGGGGAGAGTCCTGCAAGGTCTGGAGATCATTGGATATGTACACAATCAATTTATTCACATTAATTTGCTTAATTTGCCAAAGTCTAACTGGTCAGGTGAATATGTAGCTTCTTGCACAATTATGCCATATCTAGCGTGATGCCAAGCAGTGCCTGGGAGGTCAGGGGTCTGGAAAGGCATGGGCGGGACATGTCACAAAGCTGGAGGGGCAAGGAAAATTCCTTCCCAGACTTTTGCTGCTATTTTCAGCATTCTCCTCCTTGAACCAAGCAGTCACCTGACCCTTCCTTCCTGGCACCTACGTGGGCCTGGTATTTTAACATCACAAATTGGAAGAATCTGCTCCTCCCCTGCCAAAGAACTATAACCATTGTCCAATAGTACAAACAGACAGGAAGAGCCGATGCAACGTCTTTGCCTTTGCACAATCCAGGGGATCCTGATTGTTGTTTACAAGACAGCCAGTGTTGCTATTTGACCAATTAGTCATTTTTCATATACTGGCTAAAGGGACTGGGTAGACAGGCCTCTTGCTGGTTGAAGTCCTGTGAAAGGCGCTCTCTCTCTCTCTCTCCCCCTCCCCTTTTTGTGTGTGGAAGGAAGCTGAATTTAACCTGAATTTAACAGCTTAAACAACTTATTTAAAAAATGTACTCAAAGATAAAGATTGGTTGTTTAGGTGGTTCAGAACATTAGAAGTGGGTTTTTTTAATTATCCTTTAATACTCATCCTGAAGGTACAAGTACTTCCTTTGTCTTATTTTTCATCATATGCACCTGTTTCTCCAGAGTCCGGCTAGTTGAAAGAGGTGCTCCCCAGAGCCTGCTGCTTTCCGAGTCAGGCAAGGTAAGGTTACATCTGTTGATGAAGCATCTAGTGTACAACCAGACAACTTTCTGTCATTGAGGAGAAGCAAGGCCAGCGGCAGGAATCATGTTCTTGGGGCCCTTGTATGGCTGCCACATGGCAGTAGCCATGGAGACATTGCCCCCCCCCCCCCCGGCATTATACAGGCATGACTCATCAAAAAAACAACTCCTTATTGGGTGTACACTTTGTGGTAAAGCTGGGTTGACTGCTACAGTATGTGTGGGATGGCCATTACAGTAGCACAGTCCCCTATGAAGTGGTGTTTCTAAGTAAAAGTAGATCTTGTGTACATATTTTGCACTTTAGTGAGCTGATATCAGAGATGAAGGCTTAGTTGTCAGTATATATTTATTTAATGTGGAGGCACAGAGCTTAGAAGAAATTGATTTATTATTGTAGAAGTTTCTTGAGCTGCCCTGAGCCCTACGGGGGAGGGCGGGGTATAAATTTAAATAATAAATAAATAAATTGAAACCCATGAATCCTGATTTGGCTGTTGGAAATGCTGTCTTGCTATTAAAATGCCCTAATGTTTATATTGGATGTACCAGCACATAAGTATGGTCTTTCAGCTCTACTTCTTCCTCTTTTAGATACTGCCTGGAGTCAAAGTGATCATTGTTAATCCTGAGACTAAAGGACCTGTTGGAGACTCTCACCTTGGAGAGGTACATGTTGCTGTTGCTTCTGTTTTACATGCGTAGATCTGGCTTAGACCAGTACTGCACAGTTCCTGTTTGTTCCAAAGAGTGCTACACTGGGGGACTTCTCAGGGCCGGTTTCTGATTTGGATGCTGGAAAGATGTACTGATTTCCACAGCAGTTCTGATGGTCCATCTCTCGTTCCACATGTTGAGATGGCATGTACTATACCAAATGAATACATTTTAGAAAAATGCATCCATTCTAAATGATAATTCCTAAAGGCTACATCTTTTTGTTTTTATTTGCAAGTTAGAATTCTAAAAAATGTGTCTGGCTTACATGTATACTACATTTAAGCTTTGTTTCACCTGAACTTTTTTATTGCAAGAAGCCCATGATTGGTCTCCTCACTTAAGAATGGGAAACAACAATTGCATTGTTAATAAATCCTGTGTTCATTACCTTCACAGATCTGGGTGAATAGTCCCCACACTGCCAGTGGTTACTATACCATCTATGATAATGAAACCCTCCAAGCAGATCATTTCAACACCCGCCTGAGCTTTGGTGATGCTGCCCATACTCTGTGGGCACGAACAGGGTACCTCGGCTTTGTACGCCGAACAGAACTCACAGCTGCCAGTGGAGGTAAGACAAAACATAAAACATGCTTTCCCCTTTCAGTAGGGAGGTTTTGTGACATCTGATAAGCATGTTACGTGTGCAGGTAACTTCAGGACAAAAGCTCTGAACTGAGTGCATTGTAATGATGTGTGCTGCTTTGGAGGTACTTATACCAAGATGCAGGGCACAAATGTTTTAATAAATGATTTATTCATAAATAAACTATTTGCTTCTTTCTGGACTAAAGAGATAGGAAGCGTGGGTCTTTTTTTAGATTCTGGAGTGAAGGAATGGTTCTCAAACAACAAAATAATGTGCTAAAAGATATTTAGTTACTCTCCTATCCAGGAATTTTAGAAACAAACAATAATGGATAGCAATAATAACAACAATAACAATAGCAATAATGCATTAATTTCTTGTGAATATATCTGACAAAAAAGGAGTGTCTCCTGTCTTTCATTTATATTTATTGAGCTTTAACAAGGGCAACTTCAGTTTGAAGAATCTGTACATAAAACTTTTAATTTTCCTCTCCAGAACGCCATGATGCACTATATGTCGTAGGAGCATTGGATGAGACTCTGGAACTACGTGGGTTGCGTTATCATCCAATTGACATCGAGACCTCAGTTTCTCGGACACACAGAAGCATAGCTGAATGGTATAGAAACAATGAAGAATATTTGTTTCCTCTTGAAGTGGAACTGCAGCAGTGCTAAGCTAAAGTGCTGGCACTCAAAACATGGTTGTAGCTCTTAGTTGCATGAGCAGAGTAATCTAGTTGTGGGTTTTTCCATCTGAATGAAGAGAAAGTATCAACTCTAAGGCTAATGTTTGTAGAGAGTCTAAGAGACATTCCCTGTGCAACTATCTAGAAATCAGTTAAGGCCATTTCACATATTATACAGTGACAAACCTATATTTGCAGCATGGTGTACAGTCAGTAAAGAGCAGCAATCATTTCTGGCTCTCACAAGCACACATGAATTGATAAGTGTGCTTTTAGACAGCTATATGTCACAGTCATGCTTTATCTTTGTAGATGTGTATCTAAGATATTTTATGTGTAAAGTGGCCCTGAGATTTGAAATTAAAGCCCAGCAAATGAGGCTAGGCAGCCTCTGTTCCTGACACATCATAAATGGTTGAAGCTCAGATCTCAGGATTCAAACAAAACTAACAATCTAGAAGCCAATCTCATTCATATTAGGAAATGACAATGTGTGAATAAGTACTGGAGATTTAAAGAGCTTGATTTAGGAAGAAGCTTGCCAAGATCCACTTTCTAAACATTAAATAGTCACACATTCTAGTATTTAAGTGCAGGTGCATTGTGTTGACCCCATACACGGATGGGAATATTTTATGTAGCCATCCAAGGATGGGGAACCATATGCAAAATCTGGCCTACCTCACTTTGCATTTGGTCTCTTTATTTCCTCTTTCTTAGCACCCATCCTTTGGGTTCCACCACTTCTTTTTGGACTGGTCCTAACAATACAGGGAATGTTCCAAAGGATATTTCTAAGACAATGTGGACAGGACCTGATTTAAGTATATGAGGCAGTTGGTAAATGCAGTCAGCTCCCAGTACAGCTATTCCAGCTCTCTGTGTTTAGTCAGCTTCGGGAAACAGGAGCAGGAAACTGAGCAAAGGGAGCCATCATTCTTCGTCCTTCCCTAGGAAGGAGGTGGCAGCACACACCTTCCACTCTAAGCACTTCCCAATCAGTAGAGCTGGTGGAGTGGCAGGGAGGATGTATAGATCAGTATATATAAGCGAAGGATGTGCATGAATTCCCCAGGCCTGTACAAGACACTATTAGCCAGTTCTTCTGTTCCACGTGTGGTGGTCTTGCTACTCCCTTTGTGGCTCTGTCTCATAACACTCTCCTAACATTTGAATCTGTGGAATCATTGCCGGGGGGGGGGGCAGTAAACAGGCACTGCTTACAGGGGAAGGAACCGCATGATTGGTCCTTCTCTTATGGACATCCACATTCAAACATTACCAGAGGGTCATGGGAAGTAGCAAAAAAACGGGCATGTATCATGGAGGAGAGCATACATAGGCTATATATAAGAATCTTAAGAGAGTTTGGTTGTGTCATTTACGTCATAACTCCTTGTAGCGATTACCTAACTAATGAAGAGATCGAGAATGTAGTATAATGTAAAGGTGCCTAATCTCTATGAATCTTTTCCCTCAGTGCTGTTTTCACATGGACCAACTTACTCGTGGTCGTTGTGGAGCTATGTGGCTGTGAGCAAGAGGCCCTTGATCTGGTCCCTCTGGTCACCAACGTGGTTCTGGAAGAACATTATCTGATTGTGGGAGTTGTGGTGGTGGTTGATCCTGGGGTGATCCCCATCAATTCCAGAGGAGAGAAGCAACGCATGCATCTCCGTGACAGCTTCTTGGCTGACCAGCTGGACCCCATCTATGTAGCATACAACATGTAATCTTGGGCATGCAGGTCACAGCGCTGATTACAGACTTCGCAGGGACCAGGGACAGCTATGGAAACAAAGCAAAGAGTGGTTGGAAAATTAGCAAACATTGTTGAGAAATTGGATTATGCTATCCTGTTCACCTCCTGGATTGAAAGCAAAGCAGGCTGATCGAAGAGGAAAAGATGACAGCGTGGCAAAGAAAGTTTATGTTGGTATTGCAGGACATTAGCTTTACACAGTGGAAAGTTTGACCTGCATGAGAAAACAATGCATTACTAAAGCCTTTACTGTAGTGTTAAACTTTTTTTCATCTGTTGTATATATTTGTATTTTTTCTAATACTGTTTTAGGATTCTACAAGGGGGGGGTGTTATTTAGTTAAGATAACAGATTATTAAGGAAAAGGTCACATGAATCCTGCTTGTTCCCCAGCAAACAGTGTGCTTTGCAGCTGTGTGTTAGTTTCATTCTGTAATGTATCGTTAATATGGGATCACACCACGTACTTAAAATTGTGCCATGACCAAATCCGATAACCCACTGAATGGAAGAATTACTTATTCATATAGATATTTCTTAAATTTTAAAAGAAAGGATTTTGCCTATATTTTAAATATGTAAATATTAATATGCGTAATTCACTTATTTAGAAATTGACTCAGATGATGGTGACATGTGCGGTAGATGCCATTTAAGGGCTTGATTAAAGCCCTTAAACAAATTTTTGTTTTTTTGTTAGGCAATTAATGTAAGAAATGCAGAACTTAAAATAGGTTGTCCACTCTGTTTTGTTTTATTGCTGGCCAGAGTATGTCATAGCATGTAGAAGCCTATATTTTCAATGCACATGTTTCTAAAAGAGGCTGAAATCCATAAGCTTTTAAAGCATTATCAAAATAACAAAGGAAAAACAGTTGCAACTCTGGAATGTTTAATGTAACCTGTACAGCCTCTGCTTACTCTTGTCATAAAATGGTGTGTAGGCAGGACACCATTTAACCAGAACCACTCAATTCATTGTCTGAGTCAGGACTCCCTGCTTATCTGTCCATTCACAATGTTTTATGCCCACTAACAGATGCAAATGCACAGAGAGACTTTAATTTAAACTGGGGAAAAAAATCCCTGTGGTTTCCTTGATGCCTTCCCTGGTTTCTGGGTGGAACTTGTTACTACAAAGTGAGAACAACAAAGTGAGAACAGTTACAGAATGTCTTCAAAGCAGCATCAGGGCAATTCTGTTGAAAGCATGGGGAAATACCTCTCCAAATGTGGTTAGAAAGCAACCGATCAGTTTCCAGTCTTCAAAGTATTGATGGGGAGAGAAAAAAAGCAGATGCCTTAAAATGTGCTGAAACGAACATTGTCTGAAAAGGGTTTGTAGCCTCCTCTCATTGGGCTTGGCAGGTGTAGGAAGATTTCATTCTAAATTATCACTTTTCTCCCCCCTTATTGTATCCTTAGATTCTTTTTTCTCTCCCTTCCCTTTACGTTGTTTAAGAAAACACTGAAAGTGGATGCCAGAAATGGTAACAATTCTACTTGGGCCATTTGTGGTCTATTGTGTAAATAGTTAGGATATTTTAATAATATATCTGTTTGCACCCACTCTGTAATAAAGTCAATGTTTTTAGACATTTTTAAAAGAGATATAGATATAAACTTGGATTAAATCCTGAACTACAGCAGCTATATTAAGTGCAGCGCTGACAGCTTCCCCTTAAACAAACCCCATACGTATACTTGAAAACTTTTCTGTACAAACTTCCAAACAGTTATTTTTAATGACCTGAAATATTGATACTTTGATGGAAAACATTTAAATATGTTAGCAGATATATTTAAGGTTATCTTCTTTGGTCATACGTAACAGTGATGAAATATATAATGAAACAAAGAGTTACAGCAAAACGAGAATGGGATGGAAGGAGGTCCCTTTGCTCTGAATTATTGAAATATTAGCTACTGGTTCTTTTAGAGGAGACTTTGAATATTTTGTATTATCAGTATTTCCATAGTGCAGTGCTGCTACCTAGGTGAAAACCCTTCCATGCTGATAGTTTTAAGGCATCATCTGCCCTGGTTAGGAAAACAAAATATAGCAGTTGCTGGAATTCAGCATGTGAAGAGCATAGTACCAAGGACTTCAGCATATAAATGTCCTGAGCACTCAGCCCTGATTTTTTAACTGCAGTTTGGGCTATTATCAGCTTTTTACAACAAACCACTTTAGCATCTTTCTACTGAATGGAGCACGAATGCATTCCTTTGCCAAGATACAGGCTCCCACCTCTGTGACACCTTCCTGACCCTGCACCCCTTTACACATCTCTCCAGATGTAGCCTGACAGAACATTTTGTGTGCAAGTCAGAGAGAGACTTCCTCGAATGACATTTGCAACCTTTCAGTCTGGAAGACTTGTGTTCTGTTATTTGTGGGTGGGGGGATGCTACTAAATGCAATTTCCCCCCTTGATTCAGTTGGTAAGCATTACTTGCCTTCCCAGGTTAGTGTGTGACTTTGAATGCAGAGTGTTATCTTTCCGGAAGCCTTGGTGATTAATACTCTGGGGATTTCAGTTGTACACTTTGAGCTTGGGACCTCCTCAGTGCTGCACAATTGTTTGCCTTCAGGTAGCTTACACAAAATGGCTGAGATTCCAAAGGAATGACTGTGAAATCAGTGTCATGTTCCCCTTGACCTATGATGCTGATTCGCTCTGTGTGGTTTTGGGTATGTTGTTTCATGTTCTCCATCAGCATATGAGATATTGCAGCTTTTGAATGGAATTCAGGGAAAGTGTGTAGGTTTTGCTATGAGACCTGTCTGGAAATAACTGGCCCGCCCATTTCCCACAGAACCAAGCAGACTGGTGGTTGTTTTAATGAATCCAAAGGGGCAAAGTCAGTTCTCAAGCCCAGTTTTTTGGGGGAATTTCTGTATTGGCTCAGGTGATGCTGAACCTAAGTGTACTAGATTTTCAAGAGTGTGTATTGTTATGAAACAGTTGGGAGCATCTGTTAGCCTGTGAATCCATTTACCATGAACATTCAAGAAAAAATGTCTTTCGCATTTTATTTTCAGAGAATTTCCACTCTTGTTCAGTATGTTTATTATTGTACCTATTACACCACCCTGCTATTTACTGATTTTAGTCAACTGCGTAGTCAAGAATGATGGGTCATGCTTAACTATGCTGGAGATATGGTTGTAAAAAAACCATAGATAGTTATTTAGCCCTGAAGGCATTCCTCCCCTTTCATTAATGTCAATACGTTTACCATTGTCAGATTCAAATTATAGCAGTGTAATTATGTATAAAGGTTTTTTTTAATTTATTTGAAATTAGGTTTTAGATATACTTTTTTAAAAATTTTAACATCTGGCTGGACAGTGTTCCATTAACGCATTGATTGTGTCTCCTTTGTCTCGTGTTAATAAATAATGATGCCTGACTGTTTTCTTGATTCTTCATCCCTTCTCCCTAGCGGGAGAGGTAAAAATCTCCTGGATCTGGAAAATATACGGGTCTTGAAATTGCATTTGTTCCAGATCTGCTATCCTGATGCTTAAGGAACAGATCTCTTCCCAACGGTCTATTTGCATCTGTATTTTAAATCGTAAACCATGACTGTGAGTGACCCATTACATTGTGAAGAAAATCTTGCACAAAGATAACAACAAATTAATTAATCCTGGTTGATTCTCCCGTCTTCACAACAGGTCTAAATGCTAGAAAGCTCTCTGTTCTCACATAGCTTTGATGCAGTACCAAGAGTAAGCTTTGAAAAAAGAGTGTTTCTAGTGGTTATTTCCATCTGTAATTTTTCAAAGCCAGGGCCTCTGTGCCTTTCATAAAGTCAGGTTCCATAGCTCACAGGAGGTATGTTTCCTATAATCCTCTAAGTGACCTAGAAGGAGGGTGTGTGTGCATATCTGGCGCTGTTAGAGCGCTGAGGTTCTACCTGGTTTGATGTGGTTAGTTATGGTGTCCTTTTAAGGCGATCTGTCATAGAAGACCTATCCTAAAATCTACAATTTTTCAGCTGCCTTAGATATTATAGGCTACCGCTATCAGTCATTAGATCATGTTGCTGCTCAGGGAACTACTGGCCTCACTTAGGGGGAAATGATTACTTCTGTAGTTTTAGGTGAAGAGCAATTACCCCCTTGAAGTCATGTGTAAGATCTTTGTAAAGTGCTGTAAAATAGACAATCTCTTCACAGACCAAAGCATTTGTCAAAGGATTTGTTTGTGTAGAATCTAATAGCTGAAACCTTTTGAGCAGAACTTGCACCCGTTATGTGGATACCGACCTCTGTTTGTTCAATATCTGGATTGATAGACCTGTTGTGATTATATTCTAATTGTAAAGAGGACTCTGGAAAAGTGTTTCTAGTTGAACACACACACAGGGTATGTTCAGACGGGGCATTTGCAACGGTATAGGTGCCTCACATGGCGAACATCTGCCTTCCGTCCCTAACCGTTGCAAAGAGCTTTAAACCATTGTATTCTGCCACTAGGTCCCCAAGTGGTGGTATCCTGAGTGCAACGGTTGTAATTGCTTTACCCCCCGTCTGATCGCTCTCCACCGTTGTAGAGCCACTTCCGTTCGGAAGCCCGAGGCTTCCGATTTTCGCCTGCCTTTTTTTTTTAGGTCGGCAATATGCGCTTGGGTGAAGCTATGCCCCGGCGTTTGTTTTTTTTAAAAAAAGAAAAGGTCCTTAGTTTAACTTTTAGAGGAGTCCGGGACCTCAGGGAGGCCACTTTGCTCTTTAAACTTTAAAGGTAAGTCCTTACCTTTAAACTTTAAATGTAAGACGGGGTGTTTTGCGCATGCATGAAGATCACCATTCTGTGGATGGCTGCCTATGCGCATGCACAAACTGAATTTTAAAAACCCACAAACCGCCGACGCCCGCTGTGTGTGAATGGGCATGCAGCGATGGGCTCCGCAGACAGGAGGTAAGTGTGATTGCGTTTCAGCCGGCATAAACTGCACCGGTTCCAACCAGTACAGTTTATGCCGGCTAAAACGCCCCGTCTGAACGCACCCAC